ACATGAAATCCATTTTTCCCTTCAGGCATTGAATTTATTCCTTCATTATAATTTTTTCCCTTTGATTATAGAAGTTAGTATATACTCATTGCATAAAATAAAAAAATACAATTCTTTGAGGGCAATTTGGCATTATATATTAAAATTCTAAAACAGGTATTCTTTGCTCCAGTATTTCAGTCTTCTGAGGTATGAATCTTATCACATTTTACAAAGGAAATTGAGGTACAAAGCTGCTAAGCAATTTTCCCAATATTACAGTAACAAAATGACAGAGCCAAAATTAAAACCCAGGTAATTTTGACTCTAGAACACATATTCCTTATGAACTGACTTTAAGAATTATTCATTTTTTTACCTGCTTGAAAAAGCAAAATCAATTACTATATAAATAACTGGTAAGTAAATGGTCAAAGCTACATGTTTTCTAGTCATTTTCCCACTCCTGAGCACTTACTAGCAATGGAAAATGAAGTGTCTTTAAATCTAAGGATACGGTCAGAAAACAGTTCTTTAATTCTTGTTTAGGCAGGCAGCCTGCCCAAAGAGACTGTCAGCACTGGCTCTTCCTAAGTGCTTTTAAGATGCTTTGGTTTTAAGTGAAAAGCTTTCTCAAATTTATTTGCCTTTCAGATGGCTTTATGATAAAAAGATATTTTGATCACTTTGAAGCCATGGTTGAAGAAAAAAAAATTCCAAGGTGAATTTTTATGTGAAACAGTATGCCTTCATCACAAGGAACAAGTTATACACAATAACATGTTTTTCCTTTTAATCCCAAAGATAAATATCACTCTAAAAGGTTCTCAAATATGTGTCCAAGAACCACTCAATTTGCTTACTGTAAATAATCTGTCTAGGTTTCATTAGTAGCCATTCTGTTCCTATAAAGTTGGGACTGGATTTATCTCCTACAGAAAAGGGCAAGTGGTGAAGGGACAATAATTAGGCAAATACAGGTTGAAGAACTAGAAAGACCCTCATGAATTCTATAGTATTCTAAGGCCTTGACAAGAGACAATGAAGCCTGAAAACGACATATGATGTACGAAGGTACAACTGTTTCAAATTAGCCAGAGTCCTGCTAAAAACTGTATAGAATATTTAGAAAATAAGAAGAATTAATATCACCTGATATCCATGGGAAGCAGGATTATAAAATGAATATAATTTGACCTCAATTTGAATTTTTTGGGTTTTTTTTGGGGGAGGGGCAGGATCTCACTAACTGACTTTGTATTAATGATTCTCCTGCCTCAACATTCTAGGAGCTGGAATTATAGGCATATGGTACCATTCTGAATCCACTCAGAATTACCAAAATGCTAATTTAAATGTAGTTCCACAATGTATTGCAATTTAGATGTTAATTCCTTTTCTTCATGTTTATTGTATTTACTAGGTATTAAAAAAAAATTTTTTTTTAAAAGGGGCATCTCCGGGCTGGAGAGATGGCTCTGCAGTTGACGGCACTGGCTGCTCTTGTAAATGACTGGGGTTTGGTTTCCAGTACCCACATGGTGGCTAACAACTGTCCACAACTCCAGTTCCAGAGGATCCAATACCCTCTTCTGGCCTCCACAGGTATTGCACACACTGGGTACATATATATACACACACAAGTAAAACTCTCATACACAAAAAATTGAAATAAATAAAAATTTTAAAAAGGGGCATCTCTTAGGCATTTAGTAAATAAACATGGTTCTGATTTTGGTCAGTACTCTTATTTGTTGTTGGTTGTTTTTTTAATTTTTTGAGATAGGGTCTCCCTGTAGCCCCAGCTGGACTGGAACTCGATATGTAGACCAGGCTGCTGCCTGCCTCTGCCTCCCAAGTGCTAGGATTAAAGGTGTGTGCTACCACGCCCAGATCTTAAGCCTGGCTCTTATTTGTATTTCTGTGTATGAATGCTTTGCCTGAGTGTATATAAGTGCATCATGTGCATGTAGTGCCCACAGAGGCCAGAAGAGGAAGGTGGATCCCCTGGACTGGAGTTGCAGGCGTTGTTAGCTGCCATGTGGGTGCTGGGAACTGAACCTGGGTCCTCTGCAAAAGTAGTCAGTGCTCTTAACTGCTGAGCCATCTTTCCAGCCCTATTTATTTATTTATTTATTTATTTAAATATGCTTCCCCAATTTCACTTTATTAATGAACTGATTGATTTATATATATTTTTTGGTATTGAGACAGGGTCTCCCAGTAGCCCCAGCTGGCCTGGAACTCACTATGTAGACCAGACTAGCCTCAAATTCAC